TTCTTCATTATAATCAATTTATATGTAGCATGCACGTCTTTATTTTTTTTATTCATGTTACGTTTTTGTCTTAAAAATATAGGAGTATGAATAATTTAAAGAATAAGATGTTCTATTTGTTTCAAGAACTATTGATCATATCTACCCTAGGAAGACTTATATCTTTTATCAAGATATAATAATAAAATGACCATTCTTAAAATTACATGTTAAAGATTTATTATTATCAAGATATAATAATAAAATGACCATTCTTAAAATTACATGTTAAAGATTTATCAAAATAAATCTTAAGGGATCAATGTCCATTATATTGTTATTTAATATTTATTTACATTTATAAAAGTGCGCTATAAAATCATAAATTGTAAAAAAAAATGTAAAATCTTTGGTTTGTAACAACAAAAAGAGTTTTGTAAATTTATATTTTAAACAAAGTTTTATATAATTGTAAGTGTTAAATTTTATAGCACTCCTTCCTGCAAGTGTCTGCAGGTGTAGATTTTTCTTGTGGGACCTTTTTAAGAGTTTTTCCCTTTTAAAAAAAAGTTAAGCTACGGTTGTCAAATTACCTACCGAGCTTAATTTTTCATTGAGAATTTCACTTTCTTCTAGTTTTGGCCATGTGTCCTTTCAGCTGCAGCGGCAATTCACTGTCGTTGAGGTTAATTTCATGATGCAAATATGTTGTAACTTTGTGTTTGTTTAGTTTATGTGAAAAGAAAAACTATGTTTTGATTTGCTATAGATTTCATACAGCTGAGATCTAATAGAAATGGTTTTCTTGTAGAGTAGCAAGGAAAAATTTATTTTGTAATTCATGAAATCTTTTCCTTTAGCTTTCCAATTTTTTGATAAATCTATCCGTAAAATAAAATTAATAATAATTCATCTACAAAAAATTTATTGATAAATTTTATTAACCAATAGTAACATTAATTGGTAATTACTAATAATTAAAAATTTATTCGTATTTATCCATCAATAATAAAGAAAATCTTTTGTCAATAAATATAAAATATCTTTTCTTTTTCTAACTTTTTTCCCTTTTCTTTTTTTTTCATTTTTCTTTGTTTAAGTAGTAATTTAATCCATATATTTAAGCTTTTGTTTCATTTTGGTCTTTATAATTTTTTAACTTAATTGATCACTATTTTTTTAAATAAAAAAACCTTATTTGAGTTGCTATTTGTGTAGTTTATTTTGTTAATTTGACATTAACATTGTTTGTTTGAAAGTGTCAAGTTCTAGATTTGTAATAAAAATTTAAATTAATTTTTATTAAGAAGTGTCACGTGTCAAAATTAGAAGAAGATAAAAAATAATACAAATTTTGATACGTAAAGATCTAAATTTTGACATGTGACATTTTCAAATATTAATGTCAAGATAGCAGAAGAAATTATATTAAGTTTTTTTACAAAAATATAAACTAAATTGAGTTGAAAATAAATGTAAGAAAAAAAAAATCAAAGTCCTAAATATAAGGATCAAATTAATAATTAAATTTTTTTCTTCATCCTCTTCCGTTGATATTATCACCATAAACATTATCATTACCTTCGTGATTGTCATATTTTTTTTTTTTTTTAAAAAAACAATTATTAACAAAATCATAAATTTTTTTATCACGATATAGTCAAAGTCTACAAAAATGTCTATTTTATTGATAAAATTTATCGATAAAAATTTATATTATCAACAAAAATTATTTTGACTATAAAATTTATTTTATCGGTAAATTTATTTTTTTATCGAAAAAATATTATCTCAAGACAATTTGATCTTAAATTTCTCAACGTGGCTTTCACTTTATAGCATAAATCTCTTTATCGCAATTTCCCATTGTCACCTTCTCGCATATGAATAAATACAAACATAAATTACTCTCTCAGTTCATATGCATAAACATTACTCGTCCAAATACAAATATAACAATAAAGTAGCTTTTCAATTTCTTCATTTGATATGCATGTTTTTTATTTTTAAATTTGAAAATATTGAAAGAAGTGCTGACTGAGGTTCCCACTATCAGAAGCACGAACCACAAGCAATTAATATTTTATCGAAAATGCTAAAGCACATAAAAAATTAAATTACCATTTTATTTAAAAAAAAATCTTGATCAACAAAATATAGAACGGTTCTGTTATAAAATTACAACAAAATTTTAAATTAATATAAGCTTTAAAAATTATATATTTCTCTATGTAGACTTAAACAAGCATCTTAATATAATATAATATAATGTGACATGATATAATAAATATAACATCATATAATATAATATAATATACTAAAAACATAATTAATAAAAATAATTAATATCTAACTAACTGATTGAAAAAGAATTTAATATTCATTGGATGACTTTAGTCATTGAGAACATTTAAAGTACGAAGAAGGTTCTAAAATTCAATATATTTAGTTTGATTTGAGTATTTTTCTTAATTAATGTCTATACGCATCACTATGTTTGATCTAATTAAACTAGTTACATTAAGTCTATAGTATAAAATAACCTAAATCAGTTCTGAGACCTTTCTGGTAAATTGTCAGATACTAATTTTCGTGCCTCAATATATTTTGTTTCAACCGTGCTAATATGAGTCGCATATACTATATTTATATTAAGATATATGTTTTGTGACTATTAAATGACATTGAAGCTAGTTCGATTAGTTGGCAAATAGAAATATTTATTTTCTCTCGAAATAGAATATTTAATATTCTATATAATGTAAATGCATTAATAAAAATATTTACCTATATACACATAAAATGAAAAATATAGTCTCTTTTTTTTTTTATCATGAGCGATATCATCACAACCTTTTCTTAGCTTTTGATAAAGAAATTCATTAAATTCTTTTAATTTTGGGAGTTCATTTATCTCTTTTTTTCTTTAACATATTCTTCTCATTAAGACTCTTCCTTTTAAAGAGAAGGTTCAAAAATTTCCTTTAAACAATAAGGTATACATTCACATGAAACATACATAAAGTTATAAGTAACTTTTGACTTGTAAGTTTATAGTACATATATTCATTTTAAAAATAAGAGTAGTCAACAAAAGTACATTGCTATGCACATGTAATAAGTTCACTTCCTTAATTTGTAGGGATGTGGACCCAAATAGAGCAACTAAAAATCTTATGGCTCAAGATTTAAGAAATGAAGAATCAATTATAAAGACTGTATGTGATAATAAAAATTGTTTCTTTTGTAGACAATTGTATGAACTTAATCAACAAAATACTTAATGAAATGTTCAATTAAAAAGTTAAAACAAACAATCTAAGAAACGTCTTGTCTAACTAGTTAGACAGACATCTTAATATAGAAGTTAAAAAAAGATAACTAATAAACATATCCAACTCCTAACTAATTCAAATAGAAAATAGCATAATGCTCATTTAACAACTTTAGCAATTAACTATGTCCAACATTATTACATATATACTAAATATATTACTTGTAAATATTTCTCGAAACACTCAAAACATTACTTATAATATGTGACTCAAAATACTATTAGGATTGCTATAGTCAAAATGTTTATTTTTAATTAATTTTTCAATTACTAAATTGGTTAAGATGAATTAGATATGAATTTTCAATTGAAACATGTTAGAAATACAGGTACGTAAAGTAAATTAAAAAAACTACAATGTTTAAGTAACTTTTTCAAAAACAATTAACTAATATGAAAATTTTGGTTTCACTAAAGGTAAAATTTCACTAAAATTAGTTATGCGATTTGTCTATTAAAAATTGGGTTTTAATTTCTCTAGATAATGACCATGTGAATATGAACTTGACTTAAAAAGTGAAAAAATCTATAAAGTTTATCAGGTTAGATTAAATTTTTTTGAATATAAATCAAGTCATTTTTTACTTAGTCTATTTAATCTAAATAATCATAGATATCCAATTCGTCCATACAATTTCAGACAACATTATTTTAGAAAATAATAATTACTTTTGAATAAATTATAAAATATGTTATTAAAACATATCTATGTATTGTAATTTATATATTTAAAATTAAAACTAATTTATTATTATAACTCAAATTTTAAAAGATATATTTTATTTTTAGTTTTTTTATATGACGTTTAAAAAAATTGTTTTACCTTTTAAAGACTAAATGGTCCATTATTCACCCAACAAAAGACTAATAAAATGTATCCATTTAATGACATATGATGACCATAGTCACAAATTTATTAGGTGCTATTTTGGAGCAAACCATAATAGGCTACTAATTTTATCACAAGTTGTTTGCTAAATAGATTTACATTTGTATTTATATGAATCGCAGAGACATATAATGTAAGATCGTGATCTGATATTTAATTGAATTTGTTTATATATTTATGGATTGGGATAGTAGTGCTTATTAATTTCCGTTATTTTTTGTATATATTTTTTTTACTAAAACATCATATTTGTTCCAGTCATATATATTTATTTATTTTTTATGATAAAAAGATCTCACAATTCTTTTGATTGCAGGAAAAAAACTTAATAATTGGAATGAAAGCAAAGTTGCAATTACTGTGTAAGGGAAAGAAATTGGAAACCAATTAATATTTGAAGACTTCAACCATCTATGTAGTTAAATCCCTTCCCCTACATACACGTTCATATATGAGTCATAGTAACCTTTGCATACGAGCACAAATAAAAAGAGCAGACCAGAATCTGATAAAAAAATAATAGATGTAATCTTATTAGCTCACAAAGCACTGATGATTATGGATAACCAAGTTGATTAGTAGTGGACTAAATCAAATCAGACACACTTGGACTACAAGCACCAAACCACACCGACTACGCGGTAACACACTAATTCTAATTGTCTTCTTTCAATTACACAAAAAACAATAAAATAAGTATATAGCCTTTTAATTATTTATAGCATAGAACACCTCATTATGCATGCTACAAAATTATCATCAATAAAAAAAATATTATGATCGATGGCATATATATTGGTTTATGGTTAAAAAATGAAGATACATATATAAAAGTTAGTGCAAATAGGTAAAAAGTGGAAATGGAAATATGAGAGAGGGAAGGGGTAGGAAAAGGGGAACAAAAGCACCTTGAAATAGGGCCCATAACATGTCCTCTCAAAAGACCCCAAGATGTGATTTTCATCTTTCTCCACTGCACTAACACATTCTTTTCTTTCACCTCTTCTTCTTCAACCTCTCCTGTCTCATATTTCTCCTTCCACTCATACCTATTCCAATTCTCACCATGTCCACCCAAATGCACAACCAAGCACCCTCATCGTCAAGGGCTGTCGCCGCCGTCGCCTCTGATCAGCGCCATCAGCAGCAGGTCCCCGCCCCTCTCAGCCGCTACGAATCGCAGAAGCGCCGAGACTGGAACACCTTTGGACAGTACCTCAAGAACCAGACACCGCCAGTTTCGCTTTCCCAGTGTAACTTCAACCACGTGCTCGAGTTCCTTCGCTACCTGGACCAGTTCGGAAAAACCAAGGTCCACCTCCACGGTTGCATCTTCTTTGGGCAGCCCGATCCGCCGGCGCCATGCACCTGTCCTCTGAGACAGGCATGGGGGAGTCTGGATGCGCTCATCGGACGGCTTCGGGCCGCCTACGAGGAGCACGGAGGGTCGCCGGAGACCAACCCCTTTGGCAGCGGAGCTATTCGCGTGTACCTTCGTGAGGTGAAGGAGTGTCAAGCAAAGGCAAGAGGCATCCCTTACACCAAGAAAAAGAAGAAGAAGAACCAACTCAAGGGCCCTCATCACCCTCCCAAGTCCCTCAAGCAATTGGCCACTTGAGATCGATATCGATGGTAATTTCTAATATCAATCATTCATCTCTTTCTTGATTTTTGGTATGTTTTCAATTTATATGCCACAAATCCCTTCTCTCTGTAGATAGGACAAACACTCATTACCTGTGGGTCGGTAGGTTGATTAACAAACCTCATCACTATGCATATATATATACAAGATAGACTCACACTACAATAATTGCAAAAATTCAAGTTTTTAATAAAAAACTATGTTAGCCATGGAAATACTATGAAGTATACAACTATACATAACACAAACCCTAGAAGCATGACACAAACAAACCCTAAATTCCCATGGTGGATTGAGAAATTGTTTGAGTAGAGTAATATAGCAGCTAAAGACGGAAAAGAATAATAATTAGTCTAGAAAGGATACCCTCTCTCTCTCTCCATTGTATCCTTTTCACTCTCTCTTTCTCTCTCCTATCATTCAAAACACTGTTATTGCAGTTTCCTAATTAAATAATTCTCAGGTAGGCACTTTATGCTGATTTTGGCCCTATTTCTGATTATGCTTGATGTTTTTGCTCCCCATGGCCATGCCAGCTTCACATATACGTTGCATGTTATTCATACAAACCAACGTAGAACCTGAAACGTACTTCAATTTCGATTTTTTATTTTAATCGAATACGTGCTTTTTAATTAATAAAACCGAATCCTTCTCTAAGACCATCTGTACGGTAGTGTGGTCCATAAAAATATTGTGTCACATTACAAAACAAGGTAGACAAAAGTTCATTTTTATCTGTTTGTCTCTCTCAGCATCCACACATACATAAGTTGGTTTGTTCAGTGATGGACATGTGTGTGCTTATTATAATGTGTACTAATTAATGTAGTTGTGAATGTGAAGAGAGATTATAAGAAAATGACCTAGGACGTTTCTTTTTGTCTGTCTCTCTACCGTATATACATATTGTCTCTTCACAAGTATATTCACAAATATTCTCTAAAAAGTAGAAAGGAAAGTTAAAATTTGAATCTTTGACTTACAAATAATATAGTAAAAGTACATAATGTATATAAAGAGAAATAGATTAATCATAAACTCAACTTAAAAGATTGTTCTGCCGGAAAGATATCTCCCTGTTTGTCATTACTATGTAAGTGTGCATTAATGTGTCTGCTTCTGAGAGTTTTAAAACTATTAGCACATATACTGACTTAAAATTTCATTGGGACAATTGGTTGGTATAGTGTCTCTCCTTCTCTGCCTCTTTTTATATATGCTACCATTCTCATGTATTGGAACTTCTCTTCGAACATCTTGAAAAACATTTTTTCTTAATTACCGTTAATTTCAATTTCTAACAAGAACATAGAGGAACTTTTTCTTCAATTTTAATCTTACTATAATTATGACATAGAGTCAGAGAAGTAATAGAGTATAAAGAAACAAATATTTGCTTGAAATGACCCCCACTATATTCATCGTTGTTGTCCCATCACGTAGTTGAATGTTGGGTTCCCATAAACACTGTCTCGTGGTTGGTAGAAAATTGTGTTCATGGCAAAGCATACCAAGATAGATGATGATTGAATGATATTCCATCATGGCTTGATTTTGAGCCTAGGAAGGGACAACATACACATACACTCATTTTCCTATCTTCTACCTCATTTTTTCTCGTATTCCTTATTTTCTTCTACCTCACTCTTTTGTCATTTCTGTTTCTACTTTTTGTTATTTGTATGAATTGGTCTGAATGCATGTAAAACCGAATCTGAACTTATACTTTAACTTATTTTGTTTGGAATTACAAGAAAATAGTCGATTTGAAAGAAATAAAAAAAATTAAAACCATAGTTATAAATATTTAATTTTATATTAATGAGGTAAAATATTAATATTTAATCATTTGTTGTTTGTTTTATTTGATACTTATCTTTTTATAATTCGTACGTGTCTATGTATGTATGTATTATATATGTGTGTCATTAATTTATTCACCTAAAATATAAAAATACTTATAATTAAAACTAGATAAGACTATAATAAAATGACTGAAAAAGAAGGATAGGATAAAAGTATAGTAAAAAAAAAGTTTTAAAGTCTAACGTATATTAATCAAAGAGTCAAAAAAAATATCAGGTTGATTGAATTGGCTTGATTTTGAAAAATAGTTTATGATAATTATGGTTCCCATTTGAAGTGATTAAAAAGACAAATCAATTTAATGAGTTTATCAAGTCAATCTATTCAAGACATAATGGGAGACTATGTTGATGAGATATATGTTTGTTTATGAAGTAATAGTTCTTATTTATACTTTTTATACTTGATAGGTAAAATTATATTTTTCTTAGTCGGGAAATAAATATATGTGTGAACTTGTGTCCATACTTATATTTGTATCTGTATCTGTTTAAATATTTATTAAATACTCTTTTATAAAACATTCAAATAAAAATAAAAATATTTAATTAAATACATGTTAATTACTAATAAAGAATTATATTATGTAAATTTTAAAATAAAATAGTAAATAAATTAAAAAATGTAGTAAGTTAAATCTAAAATAGATATAAGAATGAGTATATATATATATATATATATATATATATATATATATATATATATATATATATATATATAATCTAAAAGTTTGAAATATACTTATATTTAAACTGTGTCACTTCAATCTAAACATTTTTTGTTAGCATAAAAATATATTGAAACAATATCTATAAATATAAATTTATTTGTCATTATACCACAACCCATCTCAAAATAGTGGGATAAATATTAATGGAAACATAATTGATTAAAATATTACTGCAAAGTTTAAATTTAACAAGTCAAACAATCTTAAATTGTTATATGATTATTAAAAAACATTAATATTTTTAATATCATAAAAATGTTCTTTTTACCTTTAGATGATAGTAAAAAAAAATGTTATAATAATATATCAACATTAAAGTTTAAATCTTTACACATTTTACAATATATACATTTCAGTTTAACAATATTCTAGAAACTAATGTTTTAGTCTTATTTTTTTCTTACTTGACCCATCATAATCCTTCTGCTATTGTAATGAATTTGGAAGATTTTAAGATTTCTATCTAAGTTAAAATTTTATAATGTTTAAAATTTATATTAATAAGAAATTTTTTTAGGGGAAAATTTTTCTCGACATTTTTTTAGGGAAAATTTCTCTGTAAAAATCTTGTGTGTGTGTGTTGTATTTCAATTTTTAAAAAAAAAAAATCATTACAAAACTATCACATTTTTTTTCTTCATTTTGTCTTAAAATTTGGACCGAAGATGTACTCAAAATAACAAAAAGGTTATTTTTTACTATGCCAATACAGATATTTGAAAACTTATAAATTGAAATAAATATTGGTTTTTATCATTTATGACTATGAGAAATTAAAATAATAATAAAACACTAAATTCCCATTATCCACATGACCATTATCCCTTCCCATAAATTATTTTTTCACTTTCAAACGTTAAATATGTTGTGTTTGGAAATTATATTATTACTATTGATTGTTGTTATAATTAGTGCCTTTAATGAACAGTTTGTGTGAGATATTCTAAGTAGATACATTCTTTGTTGGACACTAAACATATTCTAAAAATAAATTATATTTATTAACAGTTTTTCATTTTGGTTAGCCCTTATTAATAGATGTTAACTGTTGGTTTAACTATTACTATCATATACTTGTAATAAATTGCAGGCTTTAATCTATTTTTAAATATATAAACAATCTTAGTCTATATATATCATTTAATTATTATGAATTAAAAACGTTAATATATATAACTTCATGAACAAATCTTTTATTTAATTTTATTTTAAATATATCTTAGTACTAAGCAATCGTCAGTGCTAATATAGAGTATGCTTTTTATTATTAGAAGATTACATGTTAACAGTTGGCTATAATTGTTTAATCTTAAAAAACTGAGAGACCGGATTCGTTATATATGTACAGAAATTTATAAAGCAGTCGAATTTGGCCTAAATTGTATTGTACTACAATATAATATGTTATGTATACATAAAAAAATTCCTACACATATAAACTATTTACGAATGCATCATACCATTAACTAGCATCTATAAATATGCTTAGAGTTTATTTATTTTTGGTTGAATGATAAAAACAAAATGTCAAGATTTTTGGTTGAATGATAAAAAGAAACTGTCTAAGATACGTAAACACCGATAAGATTTGAAATCAACCTCAAAAGATTGATATCACTCTCTGTCTAAAATCTTGAGATAATGAATTAATGAATATTTTACTTTTACGTAGTGTTTTATTTTTTCATTTTTATTAAAATGTAAAAGTATAAGAAATTAGAGTAAAAAGTATTCTGAAAACAACTGCATTGGCACCAAACAAGTTGGACGACATGCACCATAATGTCTGACTTCACCTAAACGTAAATTACTTTTGCATGTTTGGTGTGCATATTTGCAGAAACAAAGATATAGTTTTTTCGAAAATGGTTCTATGTATTGCAATCAAATTTTTATAGTGACTTCTCAGTGAGATTATGTGGGTAGAGAACTATAATATAAAAAGGGTGTGATTGCGTATTGTATGTTATTGTAACAAGTGACTTTGCTAAGCAGTGTTGCATGCAGGGGCCTGACGAAGACTTACTCGAACTGGGGATTTAATACGCGAAAGTGAAAGAGCATGTCCTAAAAGTATCATCATTCTGCTGCTTCGACTAAAAATTATGACAGAAAAATATTGAAATCCCATTACTTAATTAGTACGTAGTTCTGAACATAATAATCCTTTTGGAGCAAGTTTGGTCTGAGTAGGTCTTAAATATATATGCATATATATATGTTCTATCTTGTAAGTTGTTATCACATATTAGACCTCTTCCCCAAAATAGAAACGTTGAGGATCGAATGGATAGATTTACAGATGTTTACTATTTTATACGATCTTATATATATCCTTTCTCACACATATCCATACACATCTGAAAGCTTCTGTCCAAATATTCAATAATTAAAATCTTCATCACAATCTCATTACAAAACATGCACTTGTCCGTCCCTTATATAATTCTGAAGCAGCAGTCAAAAATGAGATCTCTCATATGTTGCTGCATTTGAGGCATTCCATTGGAAGAATTATAATTACAAGATTAAGGAAAGTTATAGGCACTGAAGTTTTCAACCATTCCCTCCCTCCACCGTTCATTTTGGCCATTCAATTTGCCTACGAACAAAGTGTATTAAACCGTTCCTCATTCATATATGTTAAAATCACTTAATTCCCTTTCGAATCTTATAAGATGATTAAATAATAACAGGGTTTATTAAGTTTCAAGTTTGAATTTTAGTTTAATTGTTGAGGTTGTTATTATCTTAATTATTTCATCGTCGTACTTGTCTCTATATTTTTAAAAATATGAAATTATGTAATTGAAGAATCATCGTCCTTATCTACACAATAGCAGCGATAGGAAAGACCCACTGTTACTTGTACGCAATGACATAGATGTTATTAAAAAGCATGTGTATTTCATTGTCACCAAAATTTCAGTAAGATTTAAAACTTTATTAAACATATTAATTTTTAAATTAAAAGTATGATTTTAGTTATTTGACTTTCACATAAGTTCAACTTTTAACTTATGCAAATCTTTATCCATGGGATAGAAAGATCAATCAATTAATAAATGAAGACGAAAGTTTAGGATTATCAAGAATCACCTTCAATGAAACACAACTCATATCCTAAGAAACTTAACTAATTATAAATAAGAGGATTTCAAACCCACAAAAAAATTGAAACTAAATATTCTAATTAAAGAATTTTCTACTCTTTTAGCTTGCATGTCTCCCGAAAGGATTAAAAAAGACTATAATCCTTTATACTAATATGCACACAGAAAAAAGTCCTTGCTTAGTATATGATAGTCATATGCATGTAAGGAGATGTCGTACTTTTGAGTACACGAGATCGGAAATGCAAGCATGCACCAAGGTGTTTATGGCTTGTTTGCATAATTATTTAAGTCTTAAGCTTTTAAAAACTATTTAGTTTTTAAAATATGTAAACTACTAAAAAAAAGTAGTAACTAAACACAAATTTCGTTTCATTATCTACCATTCCCAACTCGAGTTTTTTGTAACGATGACGAACGAGTTTTTTCAAAATCCAAACCACCCATGTAGGCCAAGAATAAGTGGAATAGTAGATGAACTTTGAGAAACACCAATTTTGACTTGGACTAAGGCAACAAATGGTTATTCAACAATGAATATACATTGCCTATGTCGGAGTAAGTTTTTGAAATAAGGGCTTATATATCAAACACAGCAGAACAAATGAGAAATTTTTGGTCGAGTTCGATACACACATTTTTTCACGGACCGAGTTTGTTTTTACTAATATTAGCTATGTTTAAAATAAATAAGCAAGAAACTTTTTATACTTGTTGTTTATTTTCACTTATAAATCCCTAGGCGTTTTTAATGTGAGAAACTGGACGACAATGGACACTATGTTGTTTTGTTAATTACCTGTCTAACTTATCACAGCGCTTTGAAAAAACAAACCAGGTAGTGAAAAGGGAAAAGGGAGGGCATTTGGCATAAGAGTGTTATACATTGGAGCAAATTCTATATCGGAGCCAAATTAGGCCTAGCACAGTCGCTGATTTAATTTATAAGGAAGGACTAATAACAACAAATAAAAGGCTAGCTAAAAGAATCCAAAATTACTCCAGGATAAATTTCTATAGGAGATATTTCCCTCATGACAGTATATCAGCTGAAGATATGTACTTTTCCCACGACTAGACCCAAACCAAGACAGTTTTTCAAGCACCATTATCCAACCATCGCCCACTTCACCAGGCTAGCTATACATATCTGCAGCAATGAACAATTTTGTCAAAATAGTTCAGCAGAGCTGTGAGAAGTGTATATTAAGATATGTTCAATCTGAAATTATCAATACTTCTTTAAATACAAAAGGTTTAGAATAAAAGAATAATTCATAACTACTCTTATGGTATTATTTCACTAGTTAGATCAGATCGTAGATCACCAAGATTCCAACAACCACAAAATAATTCCTGTATGTTTCAAGTCAAAAGAAACGGACACATTTACATAATTGTATTGAAACAGCAAAAAAAATATTATTTCTAAAGTGACACCTTATCTAGAGCACCTCGATAGTATATGTGCATGCAATCAATTGAAAGTAAAAAACACGAATGCCTTTAAGTGGTAATACTTATCCACAGGTAATAATCAAAGTGTATAAAATGAGATTGGATAAGAATTCCAGATTTTTGTACCTAAAGATATCTCTATGAAATGACACTTATTCCTGAATGAATAAAACCAAACAAACTTGGATTGATTAGTAATCTGAAGCAGTTGTCTCGCTGAGCTCAGCAATATAAATATGAAGTGAAGCAAGGTTACAAGTGTTTGGTTTTCTACAGTTGGAAAGGAACCTAACGCACATTTTACCAATATGCAACTAGTTCTTGCTTTTCCATTTACATGCTTAGAAATGAAAATAAAAAACACACTGGTACGCATCCCACCGAAACCATGGAACTAAAACCCCAAAGATCATCTGTAACTCCGTATTTGTTGAGATCGCATTACTACAAATTATGCAAACATTAAAAACGTAACATCTTATTGGCACTTTTCTTAAACCCATAACTCCTAGAAAGCTGACATTTAGTAGCACTGGCCTGAAAACGAATCAAGTGAATTTAAAAAGATAGTAAAATTACCGTTTCTCAAGCAAAAAAAAAAAAATAGTCCTTACATCGTCATATAAGTGATATAAGTTATAATCCTAACACATACAATAAGAAACAGGTAGAAATAAGAAAACCTCGATAATCAAAGGAATCTTTACCATTTTCCTCACTGTCTTGATTTTTATGAATATTACGACTGAAAACAACATCAAAAGAAAAGTATTACTGGTTTCCAGTTCTCTTCTTTTTCTCCTACAACAAAATCAAACTTGCTCAAAACCCCATACCTTCCAAACCAATAACTCACCGTTCTCCTCCTTTCTTCAAGCACATAATGTGTCGTACCTATTCATTGTTTGACAGGAAGATATGTCCAAATTATATATTTAATATAAGAAAACTGGAGTGGTAAAAAGGATAAAATTGGGGAAAAACAATTGACCAGAAGCCAATCCAACTGAGGGGGTTCAAAGCCACCAGCAAGCCAGAGCTACCATCAAATTTTCATCTACACACTTAATGTTCTCAGCATAGGACCTTACTGAGGATCTAGGTCATCATTACTTCAGTACAGGACAAATGGAATCTTGCTGAGTTTTAATTCATCGATATTAGAAACTTCTCTAAAATAGTATCCTAACTTTTCTAGTATGCAGATTGGCAAGCAATAATCAGAGGACAAAGAAAAGAGCTGCACCATGCAGAAATAAGAAACAAAACAACTAAGCTACAGATTGGATACCTTGATCCTAACCTAGCTTTGCACATCCGTACCAATAGGGATCATGTGGCAACTGGAATCATTAACTCATCATCGATCCATATTTAAATGAAATCTATCAACTTGAACCATACTGGTATCTATCGAACTGAGTAAATGGGATTAGTTTTAATAAAGGACATTTGGTAAATCAACCTCCCGAGCCTTTTATCTGTGTCTCAAGCCCATTCTTTAAAAAATCCGGCTCACTTCACACAGATAGAAAACCTGGGACATGTTACAGTGCTTGTAGTTGCACCTTTCTGGAAGATTTGAACAGAGCAGATAATAGATGCCGCTTCCTGCCAGACTCCACCATTACCTACCTGTGTTGAGAACAGATGACAAGTACAAATAACTAGAGAGGACACTGAAGGTTTTCCTTTGAGAATTCAAACCACATGGACAGCTTGGGAGCTGTATGACATCAATCGTAACTCTTAACTGAGTTGGAATGGAACTGGACTGAAATAGGTTTGTGGTGGGCACATAAGAAATATTCAGAGTTCATATCACGTTCCTCAGTTTCGTAAGATGTACCCAAATACAACATTTAAAATGGCTAATTTTTAAATTAAAATAAGTGACTCTATTAAGCTACAAAAAAAATAAAAACGAAATAAATTAAGCTAAATAAGGAAAGGGTTGTGCCTGCTTCAAGATCGAACAAGTGGCACATTCACTAACCAACATGTTGCTTCTCCCACTACCGCCACATCGTTTTTTTAGTCAACACAGGCTACATTTCCGAATTCAAACTAGTACCTATATCCATGCATTGTACGGGTATAGGTACTAGTTTGGACACATTCTTAAGCCATTGTCAATAGATGACCAGGCAAACCAGAGAGCAATTTGTACAAGTTCAGCGTTCATTGTCAGTAATAGCAGACAATTACTCCTCAGTTGCTAAAAAATATACAGGAGAAAGTTAAATTCATTATGACATTTGTGCCTCAACTTTGCAAAACCACGAGTTCAAATAACCATATACAACAGGTTCAAGAATCCATAAGGGACCTTAAATTTATAAAGTTAACGCATTAAAGTCGTTTTGTAAAAATGGAGACAAAACAGGAATCCATTTTTAATAATACTAAACAAGATTAGTAAATAACATTCATAAAGCCTTTCTTGGTATTGAAGGTATGGCATAGACAATATTTCTCAATTTGGCAGAGAAATCATGTGTTACCAATTGTGTTATTTTTAGTCAACATATAACTGCCATCATATTCCTAATATCCATCTACTAAAGCTACTGCATGGTAGCGGTTTCCTATCCCCTAAATCAACATCAGTGTGCCACAAAATATCCAGGAGTTCAATCATCAACATGTTTCCCCCGATTTACCTTACATATTAGTACACAACTACCCAAAACCGCATCACATTTATGAAAGTTGAAATATATAGCACACATGTACCACACATGGTTCAGCACTGCATTTATAAAAGCAGAAACACAGCATCAATTTACCAAGATTGGCTCTATTTCACTCAGATACAAAAGGAAAGGGAAATATATCATTAACAACAGCCACTGAATGCAGAACTAAGAAACAAAGCTTTGAATGTGAGAATCTTCCACACTACTACCACAAAGAAAGATAAAAAAAAAATGTTTGCAGACCTAAACACATCTGTATACAGAAGTTAATGAGCAATACATGTGATTTGTAAGGTTTGAACACCATTTTAGTCCACCAAAACACTAATGAATCCTTGAGTTTATAAAAAATTCAAGCTAACTTACAGATTAAGAGAAGCCATACAAAAAGAATAACGTTGGACCCTTCAATCAAAAGCTTTACTAGACCACCCACATTAATGTCAATGTCACCATAAGCTTAAAAAAGTGATTATAATACTAAACCAACATCAGAACACAGATAAAAATGTATAGCCATGAAGACTACCTCAACTCAATGCCTCAACCATTTATATAGAAAAACAGTTCATAAAAAAATATCTCAACATAAACTATGATAACCTGCCAAAACGAAGTACTAAAGTGAACCACTTGCTAGTATATTTAATTGCAGAACTACAAGAAACAACCAATTCAGAGCATTCAGTGAACGCCTAGAGTCTAAAACCAACATACAAAACCTATTTTTCTTTTCCCAAAAAAAATGTAATTCACCGAAGAATCCCCTGGCGACCCACAACCCTCAAGTTCAAAACATAATTCGTTCGTTGAAAAACCAAACACTAAAAAGTACAACGCGGATCAAATCAAGCCAAAAGGAGAAAAAGGTAGAAAGAAATTGTATCTCACCGTTAGAGCCAGATCGTTTACCCCGCTTAATTCTCTCGAGCTGAACCTGTGTGTCCATAAACATCTGCATCCTCTGGACTTCAAGATCTTTAGCAAACTGCATCCTCTGTTTCTCCAAATCCACCATCTGCCTCAGCTTCTGACCCTCCACTCTCTCATACACTTCACCAAACCTCTCTATCGCCTTCGCCAATCTCCTCATCCCTTCACTCTCCTTCTCCCCTTCCTCCACCTCGCTCCCCCTCCCTTCATCTTCGTCCTCCTCCTCCTCCACATCGTCCGCCTCCTCCTCTTCCTCTTCCTCCTCGTCTTCGTCAGCCTCCGCAGCCGCCGCAGCCGCGGCAACAGCGGAGTAATTTCTTCTGAAATAACCCTCGTCCATCGCCGCCGCAGCGGCGGAACGCTTCTGAGGCAGCGCGACGGCCGTCGGTGTCACCGCAATCGCAGGTGAGGAGGAAGGGTTCTTCCGATGCGGAAGCAGCGGAAGAGCCACAGGCGGCGAAGGAGACGGCGAGGAGGAAGGAGGTTTCTTGGCGTTGAAATTAGGGCCAATAAGAGCATCCAATCGTTCGTAGAAAGGCCAGGAGGAAGAGAGAGTACCATTGGAGGACGAAACCCTAGCCTTCTCGATCTTGTACTTCTTCTTTATGGTATCGATGCGGTTCTTGCACTGGACGTCTGTGCGGTGCGTCTTCTTGGTGTGTCCGTGGAGCGCGTTGACAGCATCGGCGACATCCTGCCAATCCTTCTGGCGGAGGTTGCCGCGGTTGAGCTCGAGGTAGCGTCGGCCCCAGGCGTCAACAAGCGTGGAAGAGGCCTCCTCGGACCAGCAGTCCTCGCGAACAGGGACGGGGCGCGACGGCGGCGCGATGGAGTCGTTGAAGTCGGGCATCGGAAAACAGAAATTAGGGTTCGGGGAAGAAGAGAGAGAAAGAGAGAGGGAATGCGGAAAGAGAAAGAAGAGAGAGAAAGCGAAACGGCAAGGCGAAAGAGTGGGAAGGGTGGGGGATAATACGGTACGGTCGCCGGGGAGGGGCGCGTGTTGTTGGGGGAACCCCCAGTGTGTGAGTGGCTCGCGTCATCGGATCGGCTCGGCTTGACCGCTACAACTACTATCGGAAACACCCAATTATTTTTCTGTTTTTTAAATTTCAAATTTATTAATTAATCAATCAATTCATATAATCTTATCATGCCATTTCCATTGCAATGCCACTTGTTTATATTATTATAGATTATAATTTATAAATGTGTGGGCAAATACATATTATTCTAATTTTTCAATGTGTTTTGAATTTTTAGAAGGTGAAGGTTGGAGAGGGAGGCCAACGCGCGTTGTTGCCGACTTGACTTGCGGTGTGTGATGGCTTCAAATTCCGTTTGGCATTTTTCTTCTTTTTTGGATTTTATTTTTATTTTAATAATAATTTTGGATAAATAATTATAATTAAGGAGAGAGATAGAGTTTGAGATTAAGAAGATAATTAGGATTAAGATCAAGGCCTTAAGCTGCCAGTGGATTGGTGAAGATTGAAGATTAAGATTCAGTGGGTGCAATATATACCTTGCGTTGCCTCTACACTCTCTTTTTCTGTTTTCTTTTCTTATAAATAAACATGCCGCGATCGGTGACCACTCCGATTCCACAGTAAGCAATTATTTACTTTTAATTAATAATTTTTTATCAAATAAAATTAGTAAGTATTATTTAATTTTATATATTTTTCTTAAAAAATACATGAATTAATTAAGTAATTCATTTTTATTAGTCAAATATTAAATTAGAATAATATCTGTATAGTAGTGCAAAATGTTAAATTTAGTTATGAATGACCATATGTATAATTAGAATTTCTTTTTAAATAAAGTTATACTTGTCCACCAAGTAGAAAGTTAAGACAAAACCCATGTAACTCATTTTTGTTTTATTACTTTACAATTTCAGCTTAAGGAATTCAAGGTTATTAGGTCATACTCTTATTTTTTATACATTTTTTTAATAAAAAATTATTTTAATTTTTAAAGTGAATTTTTGTCTAAAAAATGAAATAATTAGTTATTTTAACTATTTAACAACACAATAATTATAAAAGATATTAATGATAACAAAGACATTTTACTATAATATTAAAAGTATTATTTTAATTAATATTTAAAATATTGATAAATAAAAGTATTTTATTTAATTACTTAATTTTATATAGTTATAAAAAATATTACGTAAAATTATATAATCAAGCCTATATATACTTACAATTATTTACTTAATTTGTTTTAAAAAATTGTAAAAATAAAATTTTATTTACAAACATTTAACTTTGTTTTAAAAGCAGATAGAAATTATTTTAATTAATTCCAACCATTTAAAGTTGTTAAGAGTAATTTATTAAATTTAAGGTTTAATTGCTTCCTTTGTCACAAGTTTGGTTGAATTGTGTCAAATTCATCCTCATTTTTAAAAAAGTTTCATTATCGTCCTCAAGTGGTGTAAAAGTGTCAATTGAATCCAAACATAGAAAAAATTTGTGTCAATGTAGTCATCTCAGTTAAATACACAATAACGGTGTTAAGTGGCTGATTATTTAGCACTAGAGAATTAAAACGTGGCAAAAGAGAGGTTTACGTGGATGCCCTAAGTGGGAAGTACCTCAATGAGGTTATAAGTGACAGATGCGTGGTGGGAGTTGATGGTGTTGGCTGTCTTCTTCTTCGTTAGGGTTTGCTGTTTTGTGTTGGCAGTAGCTTGGTGAGTTTATTGTTCTTCCTCCCTCTACTTCTTCCTCCCTCTTTGGGTGTTTGTTGAGAAATGGATGTTCTTCGGTTTGGAGTTGGTTGAAGAAGTGTTGGTACTATGTGGATTGGGGTTGGGTGAGAAAGCTTGGTTGTTGAGAAATGGCTGTTCTTCGAATGGAACCCACTTCGCACTTCCAAATACCCCACGAACAATGCGAAAAACGCTTCCAAATCACCAAACGCGTTTTGCTTTCAAAAGCCCCAATTGCGATTTTTCACCCTTCCTCAACTCAGAAACACTCTATCTCAAATATCTCAAATGCCCTAATTAGTTTTCGTTCACAAATACCCTAAATGAATTCTGATTTTAATTTCCCCAATTCAATAACCTATTTCCATGTAGCCTAATTTTAATTTCATTGACACGTCATTACCACTATTGTCACTCATTTGCCACGTTTTAATTCTCTAGTGCCAAATAATCAACCACTTAACACAGTTAGCCTGTATTTAACGGAGATGACTACATTGACACAAATTTTTCCTATGTTTAGATTCAATTGACACTTTTACACCACGTGAGGACGAAAATGAAACTTTTTTAAAAATGAGGATGAATTTGACACAATTCAACCAAACTGAGGACTAAGGAAGCAATTAAACCTAAATTTAACATAACAAGTAAAACAAGCCTATTAATAGCTATATGTCATGTCATTGTTTACTATACTCACCACTCTAAAGGTCTCAAATTTCTTGAGTTTTCAACTCAGTTGCGCAAAAGAAAAAATGTGAATTCCAGATCCAAAGGAGTTTTCATAAAAGAAATAGACTATTGGGCATGAGATAAACATCAAGTACAATCATGTGCTATGAGTGACTTCTCATTTTTAAGTTGGAGATATTGCCCATAGTAAGCACCCAAAACAGTTGAAGGAGAGACATTTTTGGAAACAATGGCAATACCTCGCACTTTCTTCCCTCAACTTGTCAATTTCAGGGTTAAATCCTCATCAATATGAATCTATGACAAAAAGGCCTGTATGATAAAAAAATTAATAAAAAAATTAATAAAAAAAAGTCTACCTAATTAAAATGGTAACAAAAGTTCTATAAATTAATAATTATGATTAATTCGTGGATAAGTTTCATCGTATTCAAGTAAAGATATTTGAAATGAATATGAATCAATATACTTTAAATTGAATTATTAAGATTTACAGCTAAATTCATGTCGTGTTGAGTGAAGTTAAATTTATCTTCAAGAAGAGCTAAATTTACAGTGGATTAAGTTCATACTAATCCGAATTAAATTAAAGTAATATTTAATAAAATTAATTTAGATTCACATTAAATTATTGTAGAATTAAGTTTAGATTATTTCACGTTCAAATTAAAATATAATTTACTGAATTCAAACCCACATCAAACATATTGAGTTGATGCAACTCAAATTAAATTGAATTAATTAACCCAATTTAATAAGTTAGATTAGACCTCAACTTTTTAATTAAATTAAAAATAATATAAATTATTTCACAACTAATTTATTATTTTAATTATTTAAAAGTTAATTAAATATATATAATAGAGGATGAGTTTGATGTTGTGCCTTCACAAATGAGTGAAAGATGGGTAAATCATGTAAAATTTTCTTGTTTAAAGAAATGTACTAATTAGGATTTTCTCCACCAAATCTCTTTTTTTTTTTCTTTTTAAGTATAAAAGCTGCATCATTAGAAGGAATCATATTCTCTCTCCCACACTTTGTATCTTCGCCGAGTATTCCATTTACATTTGCTTGAACAGTACTAATCAACTTCTTCATTTTAATCTTTCTATTTACATTTAATGCATGCAAAATTATAAAAAGATTAAAGAAGTTCCATGAAAAAGTGAGTATATCTACAATTTCAGTTAATGTCATTGCTTCTTAATATGCAGTTTCTTTATTAAATAGGATCTAAATTCTAAATTAATAATTCAATATCCTATCTTAGTTGTCAATCTCTTTGTAGTTCATATATATAGATGCATAACCAACTTACATTACTTGAAATTAGATACGTACTGTAAAACCTGTCTCTAACAAAGTAACAAGTTTTTTATAACGTGAATATGTTACCATGACAAGTAATAACATGGATAACTTTTGTACTAAAATTTAGTTGTCTCACTTTTATATAATTTTATTTTGAAAAAAAACTAAAACTAAATCAAACGGCTATAGGTTTAATGTAATCAATGATGATTTAAATTTTAATAATAAACAAGTACTGGTGTATGTTCAAAACTTTCATAAGAGAAAAATTGAACAATTAACTTTGACATCATGTGAAATTCCAAACTCAACTTATATATACTGAATAAAATTATGTTGGTGCTCGGTAAAAGTGTAGAGAAAAAAAATTACTTTGCTTATTTTGTATCTTGTTATATTAGGTTATTGAATTGGATTTAAAAGATATTCTTTTTTTAAAATATTGTATTTTTACAAGAATGAAATATTTTTTATAGAACTTTTAATAGACTTCTATTATTAAGCTTTTTGTCACTTGAATTTTAAAAGATTTATAAAATATAAATGATTAAATGTATTGCAAGAATTTAAAGGATTTTATATATTAAAAATCATAAAAACTTTGCATAGTTACATTTTTTGCAATGAAATACATTTTTACGTGCATTAAAATAATTTAAATATAGTTTAGTAACAGCAAGGAACATTTTAATAGCAACCTGTGAATTTAATCTAATAATTGCACCCACCTATCCATTATCTAACTGCTATTTTATATCTTGAAATACTAAAAACACAAGTTTTACACGTGGCTTTCATTTTGTAAAGTTTAATAAATATATAATAAATTTAAATTACTTTTACATAAATATTAACCTAAAATTTAGAAAATCATTAAATAGTAATAAATTTTAAAGACAAAATATAATTAATTTAGATATTAATTTATAAACTAAAAGTTATTAATATTTAAAATAATTTTTATTATAAATAAAAAATTATAACTGGTATATGAGTTAGAGTTTAAATTGATTTCTAATATTAATTGTTAAAATTTTAACTACAAAAAATAGTGTATAAATTAATTTCTAATTTAAAATTAAAAATAATTTAAAATAATAATAATAATAAGTACTTTTTAAAAATAAAATAAAATGATTTCATTCAAAATTTCAAGCTATTATATTACAAATATTAATAAAAAACTATGGCACCCATGAAAACCTTTTCTCTTTAGTAATCAAAAAAACTTAATGGATAAATTTACTGATAATTTTTTAGTTTTAAACTAGAAAATATAAATAATTGACATATATTTCTTTAATTGATTATGTGAACCTGTATTCTTTAAATGTTTTTTTTTGTCATATATATAGTTAATTACGTGATTACTTTTAAACTTTACATGTTATAATAAAAAAAATCAAATATTTTTTAACTTATTTTGTTTTTAAGATAATAAGGTTGGAAATTTAAATGTACGTCTAAGTTTTAGATCAAAAACACCTATTATCTTAATGTGTTTGGTAGAGAATGTGAATCCATTACATTATTGATGGTTAAAAAAATGTGAAAAAGAGAAAAAAAAAGGTTATGCGAATTAACTTGTACGGGTCAACCAGCTTAAAACTCCAACCCTCCCTACGCTTTTCACTCCGACCCACGTCACATTGTCACCCTAATGTTTTTGGAGCTAAACAAAATCTCCTTTCTAAAGTTATATATATATATATATATATATATATATATATATATATATATATATAAAATTTCTTATCTATTCACTTTTCTTCTTTCCTTTTAAGTTCATTCTCTTCTACTAAACAAAGCACAAATATTTCCTTTGCTACCATGCTCAGAAACATACAAGAATCATCAAGCATTATATTTAAAAGCAAATTTTAAGGAAGAACTAAGACCAGTTACATATCGTGCGTCAGTTACTTAAGTATCCAAGATAAAGTCAAACTAGAAGCCAAGTAATTAACATGAGAAATTGGTTATTAACATAAGAACTTTTGTTAAAAATAAACTCGATTTCACTGTTTACACTGAGAATGAATGATGTGTACCCACACATATATTCCCAACATATATTTGTGTTAATTATTTTTGGTGGGAATAAATTCATAATATGTGTGGCATACAATTGAAATTGCGACAAAGTAACACGTTTGAACTGTAAGGCACTAGTGCGAGACAAGTGTGGGCTATGGTCTGCATTACGCTTACCAATCTCCAACAATATTATAAAGTATGTTTTATATTTGCATAACTATCTCATTAATTATATTATTCTATATTATACATTTCCAACAGGGAGACATGAAAATTTTCATGAAGTTCTAAAATAATAGTATGGTACTATTGTACCATTGCTTTATAATAGTATATAATATTGAAATGAATTCAAGCGAAAGGTGGAGACAGAGAGATCTTTGTAACTCTCAGCTTAATTATGCGCAAGTGTGAGGCGCCGCTAGCACATATGATTATACATGATTTCACATTTTCGTATTTCCCATTCTTATATATCATCATCCACCAACAAAAGGAAGAGGGAAGGAAAACTATATATTTTTTCATAAATGTAAATGACTTTGGCACCAATGGGGTAACCCACATACCAGAGCTTTCTAATCGTAAAATCAATTTAGTTAAAGAACAGCTTTTTACGGTAATTAAGCGTGTTAAACTTAGACATGGGAGCTCATGAATAGTTACTGATATGGTGAGTAAGTGATCACTAATATGATCACAATCATTAACAGTTCATTTCTGTCCTTATCACACTAAATATCATCTTTGATGAAGTTTTAGAATGTGGCCAATAGGAGATGTCCCGTCTATGGATCCCCCATGGAGAAGGTACATAGATACGCAGAGCGGGGGTAGATTTTCAAAATCAACTATTCACGTTGGTGTTCCTAAAATTTATGAAAATAAAGATCACTATATTTTATGTGATTTATGGTGTCTTTTTGACATGGTGGAAGGTGCATAGAAATGAAGTAAAGTAGTAAAGAAGAGACAGAGAGAGGAAGTACAGAGAAGATTCAGACAAGGAGGTTAGTGAGTTCACCTGATCCACTCGCAACACTGACATCCCATGAGACCATCACATTTCAATGATTCATCCATTGTTTTATTGTTACATGGAGCAGACCCTCATTGAGTCGCTTACTCTGTGCCAACTTTTTTTTTGGCCCCAGACATATGGTGGGGCTTCAGAGTAAAAACCGCATATATGCGTTCGAATCAGAAAAAAGAATCTGAAATAAATCAGAATCAGAACCAAACAGAAAACAGAACGCGGAACACAACACAAGCTTCCCTCAAGGCTCAATGATCTGCCGTCCAGTCAATCCACCACCCCAGAACTCCACTGTGTAATCAATCACCTTTACAGGATGCCACACCCACTAACCTTATTGCTAACTCATACTCAAAAACAAAATGCTTAAAGACACACAATACAATACATATATCCACTAATTACTTTACCAACGCAACATTATTAGATATTACAATTTTGGTGGAAAGCACACTCTCAAAGTGATTTCCCAGCATGCTTTGGTCTTTTCATGATCCAACCCACCCTTTTCTTTTTCATTTCTTTTACCCTTAGTTTCTGCCCAAGTACACCGTGGCTTTCTACCTGCTTGCTTACACATCCATGAATCTGAGGGACCCCAAAGATTTTTTTTTTCTCTCTCATCAAACATAAATTAAATGAAAAGCTTTCTCCTTGAATTTATTCATTCGCATTATTATACGTTATATATTTATGTTTAGAGGGTGATGCAAGCATTACGTCACCCTCTCGCTAGCGTTGGAGAATGACTGACACCGTCGAACACTACAAAATTGAACGAGGGGAATAAACGTGAATGGATTACTCCGTTGTTAGCAATGGCATAAATTCTACCATACGTCTCAATCACCTTCCATTATGATCTAATACAGAACGACGAATGCCCCGAAAACCAGACACAACAGGAGTGCGATCCTTTTCTCCCGTGTTTCAATCATACACTTGCTGTGTCTACTTTTCCATGTGCAGTACTTCAATTCCAACTCCAACCCTTCATCGTCAACAATTCATCAAAAGCTAAAACAAACTCACAGAATTCCTTCTTATCATCCCTTCCTGAAAATTACAAAATTATAGCACACCTCCATCGCTCATGCACCCTACCAACTAAACACCAACAACACCCCCTTTCAAAATCATGATAAGCTGATAACGAAAGCTTAAAAAAATGGCAATCAGTAAAGTTGAGCACTTGTGATCCCCGACTTTTATTCAAAACGATCTCACTTCTCAAAATCACAACGTATTATCATCTCATTACTTCATATACCAATATCGTCAGCTACTCAGATACAAACTGACCTCTTTCAACAGACACGTATTCCTATATTTTTAACCCTATACGATTAAGAAAAATGAAACGAAATTGTTTAGCTGAATTTAGAAAAAACGGGTTTTTGAAGTTTGGAAGATGGAAATATATATGTTGGTATAGTATAATATAATATAGGGAGAGGCTTAAGATATTGAACAATTAAGGATGAAGAAGCGTTTACAGTAGTTATATATCAGGCGGTGACTCGGAAATGCTCTCCAAGTGAGGCCTCCAAACGGCGACACGACCTCGTCTTCTGTCTCTCTGCGTAGAAAGCTTCTCGGAGAGTATTTCAGTCAAGTAGCGATCGTTCGAGACGAGCAAGTTGGCCACGGAAATGGCGTCACTGTTGTTGTTGTTGAGATTGTGGTTGTGGTGGATTCTCTCGGCGTGGTGGTCCTTCCTTTTCTTCTTCCCGGAGGAGGGTCTCTGGCGGTGGTTCTTGTCGGAGGGGGGAGAGGGGAGGGGCATGAGGAAGTAAATCTTGCCGCGCTGGAGGTCAGCGTCGGGAGGGACCACGACGATTTTGGGAACGACGCCGTCTTGGGTGGAGGGCGAGGATGGTTTCTTGAGCACGTGTTTGGGGTGCGCCTTCATGATCTCGCTGGCCTTGACGGAGCCGCTGATTTCCTCGACGCGGCCGTTGGAGTGCACTATGCGGATTACGTCCAGTGCTCCGCATGGAAGAATGCAAGAGATGCAACACCGTATGGTGTTTCTCATTATTTCCTGTTCTGCTCTCTCTATTTGCGTTGGTAACGCTACTATCATAGAAAGCAGAGAAGAACAAGAGGCGGAAAGACTCGAGAGTAAGAGGGTGGTGGAGGAAGAGAGGGAGCAGAGAGTGAAGAGAGAGAAAAGTTTATTTTGAGATTGTGTGGTTTTATGTTTTAGCAATGCAGTGGGAATAAGTCACATAAAAGAATTTTGTAGGAGACGATGATGCCTTTTATTTTCGTTATTATCTGAAATATTTTTTTTAATGAAAAATATTTGACAAATGTTAACCATCACTTCAAAAGTGTGCTTATTGAAGTTATTTTTTAATTTGATCTGAATATTTATTTTTATCCATGGTAGCAAGGTGCGGGATGAAATTGATGGTGTGAATAATTGCAGAAGAGTGTGGTGTTAGGAGACGAAAGTCCTTGGTTTTGTGTGGTGTTGTGAAATGAATAGTATTAGGTTAGGAATGGAAGGTTGGTATAGTGATATGAGTGGACACATGGCACAGTGAATGATGGGACTGCTTAGGAAGCAAAAGCTTAGAAGCTTTTGATGGGGCCGTGGGTGGATGTGCGTGTATCAATCAAAGGTTGACACTTGTCGGCCAATAATGAATATTTACACTAAGTTTAGGTGAGTGTGGGGTCAAGGAGAGAATGGGAAATCAAATGAGTTAACAGGGTAAAAGGGTAAATGAAACCCTTTTAGATTAGTGAGTGAAGTGCTTCTACTACCCAAATCCCTTTCACATATTTCCTAAATATATATATATATATATATATATATTTTTTCCCTTGGTTAATATATTATTATGTTTATTATTTCTACCTGCCACATAATCTATAGTATATTATAAAGGAAAGTCAATTAATTACTCCAACCCCGTTGTTCTGCATCGCTTCTATATCCTCCAACAAATATTCTCCTTCTCCTTACTAGCTCGTCTTTCCTTTCACACCACCAATTGCCAATATTATAATTTTATTTTATTTTAAAGCAGAATATATGTATATGTAATTCATTTAGTATCTGTATAGGTTATACAACAACGATTCATAATTAGATGGCACTGTAAAAACTTTTGAATATCTAATCTAACTTTTATCTACTGTCTATATAATTTAAAGATTATTGATCTGATGAGATAGTATGTGAGTTGAATTAAATTATTTAAACTATAAGAACTTGATTAAGACTCTGAAATTTAGATGATGTATACGTTGATTTGACATATGTTTATTATTAAGTGAATTTTGCATGATGATCTCATTAAAACTGAATTCGATTCAGGGTTATTTTACATGAAGTCTACACAATAATAAAATGTGCCAAAAAAATGTCTTGACAATATTCTTCTTACATGTGATGAAAAGTGATTCATTTGGTTATAAAATGAAAAATTAATAGAGATTTTTTATTAACCAGAAAAGTCAACTAAGATTGCGCATGACCTCAAATCTCACTTTCCAATGTGTTTATAGACATGTTTGGTAGATTATATATATTTGTATATTTGTATACATAACTTAATATAGTCAAACTGTATCTTTGCTTTCTGCCGATTCTTTTCTATTTTAACAACTCTAACCATTTTACAAGCCTTTATGAATGAAGGAAGGAAATGAGATTGTAGATTTCCTGGAAGGTATGAGAATGCTGTTGAACTGCTTTTTGTTTATGCCTTTGAAATAAAAGTTTCAAGAATAATTGTATTATTATTTATGCAGAAAATATTATGGACAATTTATTTATGACTTATATATGTATTTTGAATTGAAGGGAGATATCGACTTTTCTTTTTAAATTATCCTCTTCAATAAAGTTTTGTAGATTACATTTTATCAAATCAAAGATTAATAATTTCTTGCTGAGCGATCAGGTTACTTAAAAAGATAAACCTGTATACCCTTCATTAATCAATTCAATAGTAATCAGTAAAATTATAAGCTATCAAATTAAACGACTGCAAAATGTTCAATTTATTTTAAATTTTCAGTACATTGTCCAAGTAATAAAAAATATTAAATAGTTGGATTAAAGAATTTAATGTGTTCAAAAAATGATCAAATAAAGTGTTTTCATCAAGAATTATTATACACTGTATGATCTATCTTCGTTCCTGAAGAATTATTTCATAACTGTTTTTTTTTTTGTCCATTTTTTCTATTCATTTGCTTGACTTTTTAAATTTTAAATGACGTTTTCCATCCATTTTATCCCATATTTTTCTTTTAATTATTTCTCCATCCATTTGGATTATTTTTTGTACGATTTTCAGCTCCTTTTGTATGTTTTTTCTCATGAAAATGTTTTATTCCCTCCATTATTCTTGGCTATTTTCACTATTTGTCCTTCTGGTTTGAGAAAATTTTATCACTACGTTTTTCTTCACGATTTTATTCTTGAAGCGATATAGGAATGGTGTGAAAATGAGAGCATATTATGCTTACAATATATATAAATAATTCTTTGATTTAAAAATAAAAGATGAGAGGAAATGGGAGTAGAGAAAATAATATCTTTGCTTAGTTTTATTAAAATAAAGGAGAGAAAATGACACCTTATTTAATTTGGACTATGAAAGAGAAGGAAACTACAAATAATTTATAACTTTGATATTATAATTTGTAGAATAAATGAAGAATAAAATATAATTTTAGAAAAAATTAATTTGCGCAAACATAAAAGCTTTTTATAGTTATCCTTCGTTTGGATGATATGAAAGAAAATAAGGAAGTAAAAAATAAATAAAATTAAAATGAAAAATGAGATTCTTTAAATTACCCAAGAACGAATATACATAAATAAAAAACAAGAAAAATTTATTTATTATTAATATAATAGAAAAAACAAAAAATATCGAAAATTCATTATAAATAACACATAGCCCTTCAAAAACACCTATTATCTAAACAATACAATCCATCATATCACATCTTCACTTATATGTTACAAATCAACCTAAGCTTTCTCTTATTTCTCATTATCACAAACGCGATGTTAAAAAATGTGGAACTCACAAAACTTTCTCTTCAAATCAATGCATATTACATAATATAATCATGTACAAATTATTATTTTTGGTACATTATATCTCGGTCAAGAGCAAATAGCGCGATTATTATTGAAATAGAGACTGTTTTCATATAAAAAAAAATACAAGTTAGTTCCACTCTATTTAAGTATAAAACATTTATACACAAAAAATCATCAAATAGGCAGTTATACTGACTAATTAAACGATGTGATAAAATAATACTAGGCAAGAAAGGTTATATGATTGAGGGTCCATTAAAATAAATTAAGGTGTAATAATAACAATAGAGTGAGTAAACTAATTATGTAATAGCGAACTTTAGTCTTTATCTTTTATGAACAAACGAGTGAGCCCCCAAAAAAGAAAAACAAAACGATCAAATAATAGTGCGTGTGAAGAAATGAAAAGGCAGTGCATGAATTATTGATATTGGGTAATCACAGTTGTTTTCAAATATGGTTCGAAAATTGTGGAAGAGTGAGTGGATAAGTTGCATAGATAGACTGTTTGAATTGTGTGAAAGGACATGTTTTAGTGTTTAGCAATTTGGAATGTGGAGCATTATTAATGAGTCTAATTAGAAACACTCCAAATCCAGCCAACTAAATCAATCAAAGTGTTTCAGAAATCATGGGATTGTGCTTAGTGACAGCCCCACAAGCAGCTCCTGTCAAATTAACCACTTTTTATTTCGTGCTCATCAAATTATACATACGTTCTTTGCTTTCGATGAACAACAAAACTCCCAAGAGAAAAATAGTCAGAAAAATGGACAAAAATGCAATATAATTGAAGTTAACAGTGACACAAGAGTGTATATCAAAAACCAGTTTTTTCTTTCTGGTGCATTGTTCTCCATTAAACCAATCTGCACTTGCTGATTAAATTCTTCAATTAATTCATGATATTGTCATATTGAGATTTTGGAATTGTTGAGACCCCACGCCAGAAACAATGGGATGAGGGTCATGTCAGTTTGGCCCAATGCTCTTAAATGTTGACCGTTGTTGTTATTATTATTATTCCTTTTAGTACAAATTGGCGGATAATGAAAATTACATGGAAAGAAGAGAAAGGGAGAAATTATATACCTTTTGTTCTCCAAGTAGTTTGGTTTTAATCCAATATTAATTCAGAGTGGTCCTTAAATTAGTTGGACATCATTTTAAGCATTCATTCTGATATTATTTTAACCTTTGTTATTATAAATTCTTCTTCCATTATTGTTCTTTCAATTAAGAAAACCAAGTTGCAAGCACCATCGGAAGGAACATACTTGGTCACGAAAATTGAAGGCTTGATGCGTATGCTGGTATTCAAAGGAACTTAAAAAGAGAAGAGAGATACCCATACGTCTTTTCACTTAGCATAATTATGATACAGGACAAGTTTTTAGAAGGTAACTGAACCCTATGAAAGAGTAATTTTTATTTAAAAATCCATTTAAAACTTTAAAGTTGGCTGTCTTAATTAATTATATGTTATTTGATTTGCTTTTAATCTATCATTGTGACCTTTATTATCGGGTGAATCTTCCGCTTATATAATTGTCTTCACTTAATCATTTCTAACTAATGTGAATCACATTCAAATGATTTCCCATATTTTGACGCGTAAGCCACCTTATCATTATTAAGATGAAAAAGTTATCCGACTCTTTCCATCCAAGATATGAAAAACCTACCCTACTTGGCTACTTCCTCTTCCTTTATTTTACGCAATTCTTAAGCAGAAAATTGGACGTATTTATCAATCTTAAATTATTATTTCAGTTTACTCAACCTAAGTCAAATCATGGCACAGATGAGACCTTCCATGGTGAGCAAGGTGGATGATTTTATTGTTTTTTATTTTTTTATTTTTTATAAATGATGTCCAATTGTTATAAAAAGTTATTACTAATATAATAATTTTACTTTCATTCATAATTACTAATTTGTTTGGAATGTTGTAGATATTAAATTTTTGAAACATTAAACATCACCGTAAGACAAATAACAAATTATAAAAAATCTTATAAAAAGGAACAAAATCAGTGACATTTTTAAATAATATTTTATAATTATGAGTTAAATTACTTGGTAACTAAGTTAATTTAGTATTTAATAATAAAAAATTATTCCTAAGTAATTTTGATTTATTTTTGTTGAGAATGATTATTTGGATTGAAAGATTTAAATAGTAGTATTTAAATAAAATTTTGCATGACAGTTGGAAGCTGGTGTTAGAAAGGGAAGCTTGGGGTAGAGGGAGAGAGACGGATTGAAGGTGGGGGTGATAGTTTTACTCGCTTGGGGCGCTAATAGAAACTTTCTTGAATTCATTTGCTAAACAAGACTTCTTCAGTTCAAAACCCTAAACTGAAAGAAAAAGCGATGGCCCAAAAGAATTACAAGTCTTCGTTTACAAATACAGGACTTGGGCTTACATCTTCTTCGTCTTTTGATGGCTTCTTCCAGCACTCCACGATTTTCTTCTTGCAACTCAAATTTCATTGTGATATCCATTATAACTCTACATATTACACATATAAATTACTAAATTAATTAAGTGATAATTACTACTTACCCAGCCGTATTATTTTTACTTCCCCAAACATCTCAAGGCATTTTTACGAAACAGACTCTTCAACTGCGTTTTTTGCATTCTTCTTCTTCCTTCAACAGATTTCGTTTTCAACATATTTCATCTTTGTTCGTTTTGGTTGAATTAAAGAAATAAGTATTTACTTCATTCTTATTCATTTATATTATTTCTTCTTGAGTTTTTTTTTTCAAGAATTTACCGAATTTCATAATTATTTTTCGTTTTTAGTCCATTGGATTTTGAAATTCTATTTGTTGAGAGGAAGTAAGTCAGTCACTATTTATGGATTTTAGAAAAATTTGAAAGAAAAATGAGAGAAAGTAAGTCAGAGAGTATTTATGGATTTTAGAAAAAAATGGGAGTGCAGAGAGAAATTATGTAGGTGCGGGAAGAAATCCCCTCCTCCCAAAAATGTAAGTTAAATTGACAAGAAGGATTGATTATATCTTTTTCTTGAAAACAAATTAGAAAAAATCTGCAAAAAGAGGAAGAAGGAGTCTGAAGGGATGAACCTAGCCAAAACTAGAAGTGGCCCTTTCATTTTGCATATCTCTTCTTTACAAAATCACAAACTAGTCAATTTAACAAATAAGTGCAAAATCTCACAAATCCAATTTCCCAAATCACACTCTTACTTGATCAGTTCATTCTCACTTGAACCATGCCGGTTTTCAAAACCCCCTTCAACGGCTACTCCGTCAAGTTCAGCCCCTTCTACGAGAATCGCCTCGCCGTCGCCACCGCCCAGAACTTTGGTATCCTCGGCAACGGCCGCCTCCACGTCCTCGTCCTCTCCCCGGACCCCTCCCTTCCCATCGCGGAACTTGCCTCCTACGACACCGCCGATGGTGTCTACGACGTAGCCTGGTCGGAGTCACACGATTCCATCGTCATCGCTGCCGTGGCCGATGGCTCCGTGAAGCTCTACGACCTGGCCCTGCCCCCCACTTCCAACCCTATCCGTTCCTTCCAGGAACACACCCGTGAGGTCCACTCTGCCGACTACAACCCCGTCCGCCGCGACTCTTTCCTTTCCTCCTCCTGGGATGACACCATCAAGCTCTGGACCCTCGACCGACCCACCAGCGTCCGCACCTTCAAGGAGCACGCCTACTGCGTCTACTCCGCCGTCTGGAACCCCCGTCACGCTGACGTCTTTGCTTCTGCCTCTGGCGACTGTACCGTCCGCATCTGGGACGTCCGCGAGCCAGGGTCCACCATGATCCTCCCCGCCCACGACTACGAGGTCCTCGCCTGCGACTGGAACAAGTACGACGAGTGTGTCATCGCCACCGCATCCGTGGACAAGAGCCTGAAGGTCTGGGATGTCAGGAACTATAGGGTTCCGGTGAGTGTGCTTAATGGGCACGGGTATGCCGTGAGGAAGGTGAAGTTCTCACCGCACGTGCGGAATTTGTTGGTGTCTTGCTCGTATGATATGACGGTGTGCGTTTGGGACTTCATGGTGGAGGATGCGCTTGTGAGTAGGTATGATCACCATACGGAATTTGCGGTTGGGGTGGACATGAGTGTGCTAGTGGAGGGGCTCTTGGCTAGCACTGGCTGGGATGAGCTTGTTTATGTGTGGCCGCATGGCACTGACCCTAGAGCACCTTAACACTATAGGTACTTTTCTTCTTCTATCAGGAGCAGCATATTTCACAGTTAGTTTTAAAAACTTTGATTTTCTGATGTTATTCTTTGATTTCAACTTTCATTTGACTTGAATTGTCTTACTGTTTTTACCATGGTCCATAGTGTGTAGGCTGGAATTTTATATTTGTCCTTTTTAGTAATTTCGTTATTTTTGTATTATATCTTAGTTAAAGTCCTCCACCCCTTTGTTTTACAGAGTGGGAAATGAATAGAGTGTTGGATAGATCTTTTGCACATTCAAACGAGCTACAAGTCACAGAGTACGCACGATTCACCACATTGAGGTGCTCTGAAAGGTGGAATAGTCTGGTCCAGTGGTGAATTACGGATGCCAACAGGTGGATATGCAACTTTGTTACTATCTATATTCTTTTTAAAATCTTTGATAAAATTCTGTTTCGTATCATATTTGAAAGAAAAATGTAAACTCCACATATCCATGTCAAGCCTCCTATCTGAAACATCAAACAACCAAGATTTCTAAATAATGGGTATTGTTATGAAAATGTTGGTATACGATTGAAATATAAGGCGAATCTTTAAAGAAAAAAAAACATAAAGCTAAGAGATTTTTCATCTGACTTTATATAGACTAACATGCTGGCTTGCCAATAGTTTGTGGAAACATGTAATACGTTCAACCATTGAGGATGACAATTTATCTGAGCACATTGATAATAGTATTATCTTATTTTAGAAATATCAGTATAGGAGGAAAATTGTAATAAAATTATCAAATAGGTAATTGTATATAAGGGATTTAGGATTCTTGATTAGGTCTTCTTATTAGAGTTGATGAGAAGATTTCAAATGTATATTTAATTGAAAAGTTATTTCTCATAAAGGAGAATGTATTTACCAGGCAATTAAGTTTTCTCTGGGGTGCATACTCGGGTTAGCATATTTTCTCTCAAAAATAATTTATAATATAGAGAACTGTTGTAGGTCTGTAATATATTCTTTTTAACATGTACTCCATCATCGGTGAAAGTTTAATGCAAAATACCAAACCCGGATTAAGACCCTAAAAGAGAAGTAAGAGTTATCAAAATTTGTAGGTTTTAATAAATTTTAATCAATAGTTGAGAATGTGTTAAAAAAAAAAGTGTATTAACAAGTGTTTAATGATTTGTCTATGATCAAAATCTTTCTGAGAGAGCTTTTGAAAAATAGGAACTTTTCTTCCTAAATGATGTTATTAAGTAAAGTATGCTTTAAAAAATCTATCATCAGTCTTTTTTGCTTAGAAACAAATGCTTCAAGTATCAGCTCAATGATGAAAGATATCTGCTTTATTACAATAAGAGAAGGAAAAAGGACCATGCAGAAGCTTTTAATCATGAGCTGTCCAAATTTCAGGTAATTAGTTATCAAAATTCAAAATACGAATATTCTCTTTGTTATAGTTGCTATATTACCCACAAGGGTAATATACTTATGTGAGTTGTCAAACATGATCAGCATGCTATAGAGGATTGGTAAATGGCAACTCACTTTGGCTACTGGAACCCTTGATAAAGGAGAGATGGGTACTATTGAGTTGTCAAACATGATCAGCATGCTATAGAGGTTTGGTAAATGGCAACTCACTTTGGCTACTGGAACCCTTGATAAAGGAGAGATGGGTACTATACTAACCTCCATAAACTTACGATTGGTTGGCTTTTGAATTTTCAAATCTCAAATATTACATAAGAGATTGTGATTCTGCATAATTGGAAGTTAAAAGTTGAAAACAAGACATTTAATAAAGAAATATTTATGTTTAAGAGATTAGGAATATTTTAATATTGTGTAGTGTAATAGTGGCCCCAGAAAAAAAAAAAAAGACTATTGGTGGTGAAAATAATCGATTCTCCATATATTGGGAAATAAACAAATTTAGCCCTCGACTTTCGGCTTCTATTACTTACTGATAGTTTATCTGCTTTTTGTTACTACTAAACTTTGCTTGATTATTGTTTCGCCATTCTCATTGATTCCTCACTCCTCAGTGAAGACTTTGTGGTTAGAAGCCTAAATTGGCTAAACTAGCCACCCAAGGTTAACAAACAGTTTACCCTCATGTATTAGTTATTTGTCACAATTGTGACTAGAAGACCCTCCTATCAATTGCTTCTCCAGTTTGAACTTTGGTTCTCCTTATGATACTTTGGCTTGCTTACACAACCCTGGGTAATAAAGGCAATCTAAGTTACAGACTAAAGAGACCATTTGACAAAAATATTTTGTGATTTCATTTCAGTTACATAATCAAGAATGTTCCACTCTCTAAAGAACATATTAATCCTGAAGTACACTTAAGGTGGGGGCAACATTTTTCTGTGCCTTCACCTCTTGATTCTTTGATGTAATCTTGCATTAATTTTTGCAATGTCCAGTCTTTCAATAATTCCAAGACTCAATAGTCTTCGAGATGATTGTTGGAGTTAGACCTTGTATCTTTTGATTTGCCATGTCTTTATCCTCTGGTTGAATTCCTCTTGGTTTTGTATGCAAAATTATAGACGTTGCCAATTCACATGACTCTCGCTGTTGTATTTCTTCGTTAAGAACTAGATCAATGACATCGTTATTACTTCCCAACAAGTTACTCACTACTGAACTCAATTAGTGATTTTATTACTTCGTTATTACTTCGTTAAGAACTAGATCATGACTTTATTGATTTAGATGTTGCGATGTTGATGCACCTTGAAACAGCTGTCTCATCAGATAAACTTTGTTTGAGATTGACAACTTTTCATACATACTTTATATCATTAGATAAACTTTGTTTGAGATTGACAACTTTTCGTACATACTTTATAGAGTTTCGATAAGACCTGTCGTAGTAGTTTCTCTCCCAATATTGGAAGCAACTGTGCAATGTCAAATGATTTCTTGTTTAATAAGAAAAGTCCAATCTTCATCGGCATGTCCTGTAGTTTCTTTCCTGTTAGAGGCGGATACATTTTTGTTCGCAAATAATGAAATCTTCTATTTCAATATTCCAAAAACTTTTCTAAATTTTCACATTTTCATTTATAGTCATTATTCCTATTCAAATCTGACTTAATTATTATAGTTAACGTAAATGACCTAAGCTCTTATACTAGTGGTAAAGAAATAACACAAATTTGCTATAGTCATATTTTTAAAAAATAAAATAAATGTTAAATAATAACATAAAGATTAACGACAAAGTTTAGTTAATTTTGCTTACATGTCCAAGCTGTTGTAAGTCTTTCACTGAAGAAAGCAACGTGTACCCGTATATAAGAGAAATAAACACATTTGTGAAAATTGATAAATAAGCATATTCTATTATTAATTTTATGGGAAATAAATTCTGGTAATTTCTTTATTTCTCTTTTTTAAGAGAAACTTAAGAATTGAAGTTACCTTATGTGATTTAAGATTGTAGTTGCAACAATCTATTAATTATGTAATCTATATTAATGATGAAGTTAGCACATAGTGCATTTGTCAATTATGGACTCCTTAGCATTGTGCGTGCACTAAGTAATGTTCACACAGTGCAAGTCCAAACTAAGTTGTGTGGAACTTGAACTGTCCGATCCAGTACTACTTCCTTGAACTTCTATATTTTTCTATTGTGTCTATGGTGAAAACTTCTTTACTGAGAAAAATGAAAATGTTGATGAGTAGATATTTTCCAAATTCACACAAGACTTTCCTTGTGGCGTTTATGCTTGTTGTCATGCTTTCATCTATTATAGAAGAATAAATTATGGTTGTGATAGTTGACGTGCTAATTGTTTATGGAAACTTTTGTTACCTTCACTATTGATGTAATAGTGTACTGCCTTGTTTTGAAAATCTCATTTATGGCAAAATTTTGTCATATGATTAGTTTTTGGAAGAGATTTAGGGTCCTTGATTAGTTCTTCTGTTGGAGTTAAGGTGAGATAGACAATTTCAGAACTGAAAAGTTACTTCTGACGAGAATACGGCCACCAACGAACGGAAATCATTTCGAGATTTCGAAAAGGATAATGATAAAATAGTTTATTTTTTTCCCTAATCCTCTCAATACAAAACTTGGTTTTTGACAGTTCATTAAATCCAAAGAGTTAACTTCAGAATCCCAGCAAGTAATTTATTGATTTTGATGTCTTCTACATAAAATGGGTTTTCCTTGTCACTGCATAGATTTGCAGCTTACAAGAGAATGAGCGATTACCCGTAGCATGCATAGCTTGTTGGATTGAGATGCTATCCATCATTATTATTTTTTCTTGGAAACAAATACTTCAACCATCAACCCAGTGACAAAGCTATTAAGCAAGTGTTTTGTTGCTATTTTGCGTAGTTGTCAAAATTCAAAGTACGAACGAATATAGGAGTTGGTATAGTATTAGTACCCACAAGGTTAATGTACCAGCAAGTGTATTGACAAACAGCACTTTCTTTCAGTTCAGTTATGAAAAAAGAGAAATTCTTGCCAGAGTAATTCCCATAAACTTATGGTTGTGCTGCTTTTATTCTCACTTTGAAATCTTTTGGTAAAAGATTGTGAATTTATGTGTCACTGTAATTAAAAGTTGGGGACAAGTAAGCATATTTAGTAAATATTGGAAAACATTGTGAATTTTTTTATTATTTGCAGCGTATACAACAAATAATAGCTCTGAAAAAAATCTTTGGGGAGGAATTCAATGAACATTCACTCCTTGAGATATTAGGGTTTAAACAAACGTACCACAGCTGGCACTGTCAAATGGGTTGACCTAACCCACTTAATAAAAAACAGAAAATAATCTACTCTGATGGGACCTAAACGACTTGACTAAATAAAGTAACTCACCTAAATTTAAAAATGCAGAAACACTGTTCCAAAGATCATGAGTTGAGTTCTTTATATTGGAACATATAAAATCACAGTATCAAAAACCAAAGATAGTGAACATGTACAACCATCAATGGTTCCAAACATGTATAACCTAGAAGCCATCAATGTTAGTCACTTATAGATATTTCACCAAAATTAGTGGCCGTAATAGTAATAATGAAATCAATGTACTTCAACGAAGATCTTGTTATGGCAACCATGGGGAGAAGGAAAGGTTGTCGCAGACAAAACTCATCTTGTCGAAGACATGTTAGGTTTTTAGAAGGATATTTAGGAAAAATCTAACACAGTACCCCCGTTAATATAAAATTTTAAAATGATAATTTGTGCGTTTTTTTATATATATATTTTATCCAACTTTCTTAATGTTATTCAATAAAAATAATACTCGCACGTAGTTTCTAATATCAGAATGCTTGCGTTGGGGTTCATCTTCTTCACGACGTGAGAGAGTGACCTTGCGTGACTGATCGATGCAAGAAAAAAATGGTTTAACATTAAATATTTCTTGGATATTGTTTATCTTCTCATATTCAATATACATTGCCAATTTCTCATATGACGTATACAGTTTTCT